CATAAAATTAGTGATTTATATAAAAATTGGTATAATTTTTTTTATATAAAAATTATAGATCAAACTCAAAATCAATGACAAATAATATGTTTGAATTGAGAAAAATAAAGAGATAGGGAAAATTTCTTATTACTTTATTTTTTCTTTTAATTTAATTACTTATCCAAATGAAGAGAGAGGAGGAAAACTTTTTCCCTTCCTTCCCTTCAACCCAAACAATAAGATAAGAATATACATAATTCTACTAATAAACTATATAACTAATAGTTAAAAATTAATATAAATTATATTGATATAAACTTATTATAATTCTAAAAATTTTTAGATTTCGCCCCCCACGTAAAAGTCTGGCTCCGTCCCTGGATCCATCCCTATGCATGAAATTAAGAATCATTGATCATAAACAATCATAGTTGCCATCAGGAGAATGTTGAAAGCTCGATGTTGGCTAACTGTCATCAGGAATGCACGAACCACATTAATGAATTAAAGGACTACTCATCCACACCAACTTGTTATATTTGCCACCACTTGCGTCTCTCCATTCTCTTGGCAAGTTCATTTGCCATTGAGGCAAAACTCTCAGCCCCACTCTGAAGCTCTTGAGTACGTTCGTCAAGCCTCTGTGATAAATGAGCCATAATAATGCAGAAAGTAACACAATAATTTAGTTTCTGCAAGGAAACGCATATGATGCAATAATGTAAAAGTTTCAAGAGAAACGAGTGAAGGCATTTCTGATATTTTTGACAATTAATTTCTGCGCAGTTAAGTGTTGAGTTTCCTCAATACTGGTTTTGAAATTGAATTTCTCCTTTCACAACTTATAACTTAACTCAGTCGAGATAGGATTCATTAAGTCAGTCAAGGGACGCTAGGGCAGAAAAACAAGCAGTATTGTTCCAAGGAACTAAATATCTTGTAGGAATTGGTAAAAGTCAGTATATTGGGGCATACAGGCAATCAACACAAGGTAACACGCTACCTGAAGTTTTTCTTTGCGTTCTAGAAGCCTGTCTTTTGTACGTGCTGCTGCAGCAGCAGCGTCCTGGATCAATTCATCATTTTAGAAATATAATCTGTTTAAGTAAAATACATAAGAAACTGTTCATTTGAGCGTACCTCAGTCCCTCTATATTTGGCCCTTATTTCGTCAGGTGTTCTTAGTTCTGGTTTTGTAACTGCAGTGGCACCTTCAAATAATCTCTCTCTTTCCGTTGCGTTCTCTGTAGGTAGCAGTAAGGAAGTGCAAAATTCAGGAGTTCAGAACATATATACTGGACTATACAGGTGGTTATGACATACCCTCTCTATCATAAATAATCTTCTCATATGAAGATGATATGACTATAGATTCATCGATGTTAATGTCATCTGCATCAAAAAGGGAGTACAATCAAAACAAGAAAAGAATGGGGGTAGGGGGGACAAATGGCAAATTCAGAGAAAAGGTAATAACCTATGTTTAAGTTCAACTCCTTAACTTCTCGTGCATCCTCGGTAGGCTTTAAAAAGGGGGGATTGGAGAATATTCTCTCTAGATGTGAAAAATCATTTGTACAAGCTTCTGAAAGATCCACATTATCCACCTTACCCCCTTTTAAGCCCTTAATAATACCACCTAAAATCCCAGGTGCAGCATCCTACGACCACAGAGATTAAGCTGATCATCCAAGGAAGAGAAACTCTAGATAAAAGGTTAATTTGAAAGCCCAGAAGAACATAGAGGAAAACCTGGCTTTTCTTCTGACTTTGAGATATATTAGCAGTGGCATCAAAAGCAGCTGCAAGAACTTTATCATGAAGACAAGGCAAGGAATCCGTAATCCTACAAAATAATATATATTTTTCATAACAAAGAACCAAGTGTTTACAATGGGAACAATATCACAGAGACAGAGAGAGACCTGAAGTCATTCTTAGAGGCAAGAATAGATATGCTTGCAAATTCACACCCATTTACCTATCCAATATGCAATCAAAATTTAGTAAACTGTATCACATGCCATTTCTAAGATTACAACCTAAAGGAGCATACCTTCTAGAGTAAAGAAACTTTTGCAAACGGACTTATAGCATAGGAAGGAGTTAGTGGAACAGAACATGTATATTATAGAGTTAAAAACCTGATAATTCCAGTTCAAATTTAATAGAACACTAAAGGTCACCTAGGGATCTGGTTTTTGGATACATGACACAGAAAGAGGATAGATGGTCTGTCCCCAAAGTCAAGAAATTATGAAAGGAAAAAAGAGAACTAACCAGCATGATTTGCCCCCTATTAGAAGAACATATTGTCTTTTCAATGTTAGTCTTCAAGCTCCATCCCACAATAGACATCAAAGAACTCTCTCCCACTACATCAAGAGTTGTCAAAGACCTGTCAAGGAGATTAACTTTTGCTTAACATACTATTTCCGAAATGCATTTGTTAATTGAATATATATTACCATGGTCTTTGGACATAACAAATATAAAACTAGAAGAGATCCAATGCTCAATTTTTGACTAAATTAGAGAGATATTGGTTATATACAACATATCAGATTCACCCTTAAGGAAGTGAGAGGAGCAGCATAATGAGAGCTCGACCTTATCTCAAGGTCCCCAGTCTGGTAAAGCAGAACCAGCCCGCACTCTTTCTCATCTTTGCTCAAGGTTGCAGTCCAACAGCATGGTTTTGAAAGATTCACTTTCTGGACGGAGTCACCATACCCCTATAATTAATAAGGCCATTAGACTAATGTGAAAAGAGACACAGATATGTTGAACTTGAAATAAAGAATGATAAGATAGAGCACCTGAATCAAAGACTCCATAGAATAGAAGTGCAGCGCATCCTCAAAACAAAATAATATGAGTAAATTTGACATCTGTCCAAGATAAGCCACTTCATCATTGCTCTCAAGTTCACCTTCTGATGGGATAATTCCATGGTCGGTATCAGATTGTGCAGGTTCACTTTTAGACTCAAGAATTTGAGATGGTTTTAGTGAATGCTTCTCATTAGGCAGTTCACAGATTATGTTGTCACCCTCTGCATGAAGACATTTTTCAGAAAGGAGGAACTGATAAACATCAACAAAAATGCTGCATCCTCTCAACTTAAAAACGTGCCTATAATGTACATAGAAACTGCAGACGACTCCATTTGTGAGATTCTTGAATGAGACTTGATCACATTGCCACTGATGCCATCTAAAATAGAAAAATGTGCATCCTTTGTCATTAAGAATATTACCCACTTGTCATGATCATCCAAACCTTTTGGTACAGAATCCTTTGAACAATTTTCTATGTTCATGGTATCTGAAAACGATTGCACAGCCAGAGAACTGACGAGTGAACTGGAGTATGACAAACATTCAGTCTGAAACAAAACTGATAGTGTGCTAGTATCAAGAACTGCAACCTGAAATATGAAAGAGACTATGAATTTTTAAACATATGTATGTTGACAATGCTAATCAAACATTCTGTATAGTTATTCGAAATTCAATACAAATTAAGGCAATCCCAAATCTCACCCTGCCAGATGCAAATCCCACAGCTAGTCTGGCACCAAAATTTGCAAACTGTAGCACACATACAGGGGAACTGACGAAGGAAAACACAGCCTTGCATTGAGGCCCATCTGTTTTGTGCAATTTGTGAACTGCAAGCAGGCTCTAAATAATTAATTAACCAAGTTATAAAACCACTGCCATCTTCACCAAATAATAAATAAATGATAAACTAACCATTGTGTGCCACTAGAAAACATATCATAAAATCAAGTAACTAGGAAACTTAAACATCTCTGCGTCTTTTTTCGGGAAAATTTTTAGTCTTTCAGGAATGAAATTCAAAGAAGTTTCATGGGTCTGGCAAGTGTCAGGGTTTTCTTCAATAATCTTGTGCTTTTCAACTTGAACAAGATTGGATTAATACATGCAAAAATAGAAAGGATGAATATAGTGTTGCTAACACAACTTTAATCACAACTATTTGGGGTTAGCTTCACAAATCCTTTTCACCATTTAAATCTATCTAAAGCCATAAAAATTGAATCTTCGTTATCTGACCCACAACCAAGTTCTCACACTTAGATGCTTTTTGCTGATTATATTTGCAACCAATTTCATACATATATATTAAGAACAAGTGGTTTGACATTTAAAAGAGCTACACATCATAATTAGTACACACCTTCTTTATTGGTTTCTGTCACAATGTTCAAGCTCATTTCATCTGAGCTCCCTATTAGCTTATATAGACGAACCTAAACATCCTCAAAGAAGAAAGATCCGATCACTGGAAAGTTATATCTTAACTGCCCTGTAAAGGCATGCATGCAAAAAGTCAACTCTTACCATACCACACTCATTCCCAGTGGCTAAACTTAAAGTGAAGGAGCAAATATCCAAGGCTGAAACTGATGCACTTGCTGCAGCAATGTTGATGCCTTCCACCTGCCCATCACATTATATGTATGTGCAATAAATGACTCTTGTGTTTAATTAAATTGTGGTTCTTACTTCTAGATCAACAGCATTAATCTAAAAGGTGACAAGTTGTCTGTAACAGCTCAAGATCAACTAACCTCACTACCTATAACGAAAATAAGTGAAAGAGCTGGACATGTGGCATCCCATATTCGAACAGATCCATCTTTGTAACCTGCTGCGTATACTCTCTCAATCTGATCATCTGAAGCTTCAGAAAGAAGGCTTGGAATACCACCAGTCAAAGGCCAGTGTGTACTCTTGGTTTTTGGCATATTCATCGCTTTAAACTTTGCTGCTGAGACAATCTAAACAGAATGTAATGAAAAAGACAGGATTGGCAATTTGGCATGGGGGTTTATGGAAAAGGAATGAAAGAATTTCCTTACAATATCTTTTCTATACATGATGAACTCACAATACCTTGGAAAGAGCCTTTGATAATTCTTCATCTCTATCAACCAAACCAAGCTTACAAACAGTCATATGTGGATCAACAGTGGGTATGGGCATTGAATAGTGTATTGAAGAAACATGAATTCTTTTCTCTTGCTTAGATAGTAAGGCAGAAATGGAAGCATCATCATAAACATCCAACTTTCCTGGGTTTGTTAATAAAAATAGCAAACTATCACTACTTTCCATCCCACTCCCTGGTGAGAAAACCATATTCGCAAAAGAACCATTCAGTGTAAGGTCTACACTGTTGACACATTTGAGACTTTCTAGGGTACAAGACCACTCGAGGCTCAGAATCTGTGAAAGAAAGCAGAATACTCATAAAAAATTGTGTGATCCAAACTATAATCCAAACTATAATCCGAACTATAATAGTAGCAGCGAAAAGAACCATTGTACAAATCATTGATATTAACAAGGTCCAAAGCACAAACAAATAACCGCAACAGGATACAGAGAGAGCAAATTAACAACTAAACTGAATATTTAAAAGTAACTTGAGTTAAAAGCAAACCTTCAGAACTTCTTTGGATCCAATTTCATCACCACCATAGACAAAGAGCTGGCAACCCTGATTGCTAGGGAATCTCCTTGTAGAAGAATGTAATACAATGACAGGGAATCTTTTGTTGCCTGATGATAGTTGTAGTTTAACAACATTATTCAGTGATTTTTCAGATTGCTTATCCTTTCTGGGGGCAGCAGTTGACAAGTTCCAGAACAGTACATCTCCATCAACATAACCAACAGCAAGAATAGACCCATCATTAGATGCCCAACAAAGAGAGCTTATTTCTTTCTCCAGTGGTTCATCAAATTTCTCCCCAGAATTAGATATTGTTTTGTCTTTTAGTTGGATATCCTTATTGCCTCTTAATATAACTACTTGATCTTCAGAGACATCCCAGACGACAATCAAGCCATTCCCATAAGCAATAAGCAACCTATAAATCAATTTCCAATATATATTTTTTTTAACAGAAAGTCGAACAAACTAAACCAGACTGCACAATACTAAAATCTAATTTAATCAAATCTGCAGCATAATATCACAAATTTAAAATTTTGATCCTGAACAAAGTAGAAATGTTCAAACGCAAAACCCAGATATAAATTATTTAACTTCTACTAAATCTTGTCTTGCCTATTTCCCTGAGAGCATGGTTGGGGGAGGACTCCAACAACAGAATGATGATTAGGTGATGAAACTCCAGCTGCTTCTGCAAAATGGAGCAAAAGTGACATATGTTATGCATTTAGGAGTAAAGAGTTAATAATATTGCCACCCTCAACCAAGGAGATATCCTAAGGGTATAGACAGTTACAGGTAATTTTGCATTCTTCATTCTTAATTTCAGAAAATGGGAAGAGAAAACTAATAATTCCACAAACCTTTAAATAAAATGCCTAGCATTATTATTATTATTATTTTCTTTTTCTAATGGGAATATTACAAAGCTCATGATAAGAACTGGGGAAGAGTCATTAAGTTAGAATACTTATAGAACAAAATACTAGAAGACCAGTAACGAAGACAGTGTTTTTACCAGCTATGACATCTGTGGGCACATAATAGGACATATGTATGAGTTTTCCTTCTTCTGCATCATACTTTATTACGAACACCATCCCGTACTCATCCCCAATATACCTGAATATAACAACAAGCAATTATCTTTGGCAGTTAGCTACTTGGTTTTTGACTACGCAATTGCAGCCACCAAAGCTTAAATATGATGCTATAGTAACACTTTTCCACGTTTCATACATGTAGCTGGTGCCATGAATGACTGAGAAAGCAGTAATATTGGATTCCCACTTTAAGTTAGAAGTTATTTGACTGTTTTCCAAATCCCAAACCTGTCAATTCCAATCATAGGCATTAGCAGAGAGAAGGCGGAGGACAAGGCAATGAAAGCAATGAAATTCTAAACAAACAGTACGTTGAGAAATACCAAGAACTCTAGCATTTATGAGGAGAAAAGATTACATACCTGAATCTCATTTCCATTTGAGACACTAGCTAGAAAACCTTGATTTTGTAAGAACTGTTAAAAGAAAATCATTTGCTAAGTCAAGAAGCAAAAGAGAAAGCAGCCTCCAAATGTTTGGGAGGCAACTCCCTTGGAGATACTGTTATATATCAAAGTCACTAACCTCCAAATATTTGAAAGGTAACTTCTTTGGAGATACTAGAAGCCCTTCTACATTGTCACCACCAATTACTTTTATCCTCCCATCCCTGCAACGCGCAAAGAAGATGTGAAAAAAAAAAAACAATGCCAGAAGTCAATAACTACTTCACATTCTACAACCATCAATCAAATACTCACAATGTCCCAACTGCCAACAGGCGTTGAATAGGATCAAAAGCCAGAATGGATGCAGTAGCTGGTATGCCATAGTGAAGAGTAATGCATGGATCGAAATCCACCGACCTTAATCTTCCCTGTAGCAGTGTAGCACAAAAATAGTAGAGAAATATTAGAAATGCTTCAATCCACAATTGAAAGCATATAACAAACAATATAACAAACAATTAAAAGTTGAAATCTTAATTTCAGCAATTCCGCACACCAATCTCCCATTAGCTCAATACAGCAATGGGAAATGCTATTGGACAACCTTTTTATCTCACCTTTTTGTATAATCTGATGTGTCATTAAAATAATTGGTTCTTTTAATTCATATGAGACGCGTGATATTAAATACATTCACTTATTTAATGATACGTAAAAGTTGCATAAAAAAGTGGAATAAAAATATTGTTTCTATAGCACCACCAATACAGCAATAGACCCATGAAAACTAATTAGGATAGTCACCCACGTATAAGGAAAATGATCCATGCACAATTTCCTTTTTTTTTTGAATTGTGATAGATCTTTTCCTTATCAGTACGTGTAAATTAGTATGCATTTGATTCCGTTATGTCACATAAGCATAGTAAGATTTCATTGGAAGGAAACATTGCAGGTGAATAATCAACTCCATTGACATAATACTTTATGGTAATTAATTAAAATGTTCATTAAGGCAAAACTTGGAGGAAACCGGAGAGAGAGAGATAGGAATAGTATTACCTGAGGCGGAGGTGGTTTCGTCGCGGTTGCTTTTTGGAAGAATTTGGCAAACATGGCGACAGGAATTGGCTGTGGATTTGTCTCATCCAGACAAATCTGAAAGAGTTTGGTTCATCATGGGATTGAGCAGAGTGTTGGGCGCGAATTAGTTAGCACTTGTGATCGACGGCGATGCGAAGGGCATGATATGATGGGAGTTTTTTTTTTTATTTTTTAATGATTTTGAGATTATTTTTTTACTTTATTTCTTTTTATCATTTGAAGTATTATTTATATGATTAATTTATTTTATTTATATAAATTTTATGATATTAAATATATTTATTTATTTAATAATATATAAAAATTATATAAAATATACTATAAAAAAATTATCACTATAACACTATATTTTTTTTCCTTTAGGCGGATAATTTGAGAGGTTGGACCCGCAAACGAGCTGGCTAATCACCGATAACTTCTTATGATTCTTAAATTCCGCGAATTAGTTTCTTCCATTTATTAATTAATTTGTTTTAGTTAGGGAATCCCGTGGTGCAATAAAAAAATCTGCCACCACTTACAGTGGCTGCTCCACATGGTCCCTTCCAACAAAGCAACAGGCTGCAAAAAGTAGGCGAATTTCTTGGTCAGCCAATACCTAAACAAAAACATATCCCCTCTCTCAAAGATTTTAATACAATTTATTACTGTTTCCTGTGATTTATTCTAATGGTGTTAAAATTATATATTTTAAATTCAAATATTAAAATAAATCGATGTAAATTTGTTTTTTTACTTATATGAATAGAGTTCAAAATCTCATTCTCCCTCCTTACCTCTCTTTTCATCATAGTTTTAATTAATTAATTCATCTTATCAAAAAATAAATATAAAATTCTAAGTTATCAACCATGTATAAGTGTTTAATACCATATGGTTAAAAATTTAAAAGTTTAATACACTAGTAAATGTCTGATGTAAGTTAAATTTAGAGTTTTAGTTTTGACTTGTGAAGGTAGTGTGGTCATACTACATACATCCTGCTAATGTAGGGTTAAGTTATTAAATTAAACTCTTAATTTTTTTTGAACAATTTGTAATTATTTACATGATTAATTAGATGAGAGGAGAAAATAATTTCATGAAACTTGAACGTACAACTTGCAAAAGTGAATAGTTTTAACTTACGATGCGATGCCATTAATTCGGAGCGGACCGTTCAATTAAACTCTTAATTAAAGATCCAATATTACTAATTCATAATAGATGCGATGCGGACAGGTTGATTTTTTGATTCGGACAATCAATGAGATTGACTTTTTCTTAAGCAATCTTGACACATTAATTGTAATGCTCTCGAAATTTATACATTAAATATAACTCATAAAACCACATTACTTACCATTAATGCAGACAAGTGTTTTTTTTTTTTTAATAATTTATAATTATTTATAAGGATAATGAAGAGAAAAGAAAAGGGTTTACGTGAGGTAGACGGGTGTTCTTCGAACTATCCAAAGTGACAAAGGACAACTGACATTTACAGACGCATACAACAATGTTGGATTGTGTTCTCTGTTCAAGTAATCTTTGTTGTTCCCTTGCCAACCTCACATTTTTTCCATTTTTTCTTGGTAATTGAGCGCTAATTATGGACCACTTTCGCTAAACATGATCTTCCCACATGCGAATCAGGGGAAATTGGCACGTGTAAAGCTACTTTTATATTTGGGGGTGCTCTGTCCGTTTATCATCTTTTATCATCGGCTTTGAACTCTGTTTTTCAAATTTCAATTTCATGGCGTCTTCAGCTGGCAACCAACAAGAATACCCATCAAACATGTACGCCGCCACCGCAGCGCCGCCACCAACACCCTCTACGCAACCAAACCATCACCTTGCTTCTTCCGCCGCCACGGCAGATGCTCTCTCTCGACTCCTCCTCCGCCTCCCTCCTGCTCTGTCTCTCCCCACTAATCGCTCTCCGTCCACCCGATCTCCTCCTGTGATCTCTCTCTCGGACCCGAAGCTTAATGATCTTATCCTTCCCTCTGCTTCACAGCTCGGGTTCTTCCAGCTCATCAACCATGACATACCGTCGCAACTGGCTGGCTCAGCAGAGTCCGAGTCACTCTCTCTCTTTGACCTCACCCTAGACCAAAAAGAATCAAACTTTCCCAAAAACTGGCCTCTGGGTTTTGATGCGGATGATGAATTAGACGCCGGAAATGGAACCGGCGGTCAGTCCTTTTGCTTGGACATCTCGTGTCTAACTGAGTCGAAGGAGTTGGCACTGAGTTCTCTGCTCGAGTTCACTCGCGCTTTAGAGAAACTGGGTTTAAGAATCATTGATACGTTGGCAAGTGCGGTCGGGTTCGAGAATCCGGTAGGGGAGGATCCGACCGGAGTATGTTCCTTGATGTGGATATCGGAAGGTCAGGATAATAACGACGAACCGGTTATGATGGGTGGGTTTTACCCGTACGTAGTTGGGTTGCAATTCCAAATCCGGTGCCAGAAGTACACATTGCTGACGGACTCGGGTTGGGTTTCGGCCTCACCACAAGTGGACTCTATCATGGTTACCCTCGGTGACATTGCTCAAGTAAGTACCTAAAAAGCCTGAATCGATGGACTTTTTTTTCTTAAACTCGTGGGTTTTTAATTTAATACAATTTAAATTATAAAATAAAGATAATTTATATAATAATTTTTTATTTTTTAAAGTAATTTTTTTTTGAAGTACTTATCTAAAAATGAATGCATTGCTCAAGTACGGACATGGGTGTCAGAGAAAAAAAATCTAAAGAAAACTTGAACGGTCATCAGAAAATAATTGGACCCACACAAATTACAATCAGAGATGCAGACATTGGTGATATGGTTTTGAATGTTCATTTTTTTAATCGTATGCATATCATCAAG